GGATAGCCACTCACTTCCCAAATCAATAAATGATCCAAAGTTATTCATAAAACACAATATACAAGTAACAATTTTGAATTATCAGCTAAAGTTTTGTAAATACTAAAAACAAATTCTCACTATATTTTAGTAATTTCGAATCACAATGACAATCAAATAAATAACAACTTAAAAGATCACCATTCATTCCTTCAACTTGCTAATCTCGAATTTGAATTGAAACTTATTTATCACATTATCACTTGACAAAAACTTGACCCCATGATTTTTCCATTTGACAAATGCCAGATTTACCGAGTGCTAATAAATTGATTAGCAAGGATAAAAAATAGAGCATACTACTCATTGGACTTGCAAATAGCTAATTATTCTGTTTTAGTAGCATGTTATAACAACATTGCAAAGAGTCTTCTAAAAGAACACTCAGCAAATTAGCAAAAGTTAAATAAATATTTAGTAAATCACCCAGATGAACTATTCTTCTGGCTCTTCTATATATGATTACCAAATGAATCTTCAATTAGCTCTTCCAGAATAAATTAAGAAATTCTAAGTAAGAATCATAGTATTTCTTAATTCATTGGTAAAATCCTTTTGATTCTTTACCAACCAATAATGTAGGATCATTGACTTGGTTAAAGTAAAGTGTTTGATGTTTAGATGCAACATATGATATATGGTCTTTCTACTACTATGCAAATATAAAGATAGTTTAAAATAAATATTTTATCAATAGAGGACACTTCTATCGATATAAAATGCTTATTGTAAAAATGAGTCATCACACACTGGTCATGAGTTTGGGGGAATCTCAACTAGAGTAAATAGTCTACCATATAGGAATATAATTCTGATAAAAAAAAGTAAATTATTTATTACTCTCCTATGGTTTTACATAATGCTAGATGACCTCCTAAATTTTTAAAATAATCATACAACCCCTGATGATTTTATGTAAGGTGAAAAATGGATGAAATGCACAATCAGTTATGGTCTTTATACCAAGTGCACTTGAAAAGCGCGCGTGGTAAAATATTAATTTTAATGTAAATCCGTTATAATTTGTATAAATACTTACTTTATGCTCCTGTGATTTTTACATTTATCCATTTAATCTCCCTGTACTTTTTGTATAAAAAAAGCCCTAATTTGTATAAATGTTCACTTTATAACAAGTCCACTGGGCACCCACATTTTGTAGAAGCCGATCCATATATTATTGACACATAATAATATTTTAAAATGCATAAAATCACATGCCTAGTGTAAACCGGCTTTTAGGGGTGTGCATCGAAATCGAATTTGGTAATTCGAAACTTTGAATTCGAAATTTTTCAAAATTTGGATATTAGGAAATTCAACCAATTTTGATTTTGCTTTCACAAATTCCAAATTTGAATTCATATCGAATTGCATTCGAAATTCGACAATAACCAATTTCACCGAATTCTAGAACTTTTTTTGTATTATAATTATATATAAGTTTTGCTAACTCAATGCTAAACTAAACCTTTTATAATTATAACATAATATACAACTAACTTAATAAGACTTATTGTTGTATTGTTATATAATATAATTATTAGTTAGATGTATTACTATATAATATAAATTTTATATTACATAATATATATATATATATATATAACATACAAATTTGAAATCGAATTAAGTATTTGATTTCTGATTTGAGAAAACCATTCTTGAATTCGAACCAAATTAGTATATTTCGAAAACAGAATTTTTCATTTCGATTTTCGATTTACTGATTTTGAAAATTTCAATTTCAATTCAAATTGGGTCTATAAATTGTTTTTTTTTTAATTTTATGTTGCACCCTCCTACCGCCTTCACTCCTAATTGATCTAAGTCCTCTAACAATCCAGAATACAATCCAAATTGAAATTAGGGTTCAATTTGGGTTACCTGCAATGGCTTGTGGCAGTGACGATTGGTGCATCCTCAAGCTTCCGTATGCGGAATCGATGGAGTGCAGCGAGAAAGAGAGGATCGGCAGCTTCAGCAGCAGCCGAGAAGGAAGCGGGAGCGACAAAGAGGGCAGCTGTGTTTGGATCATCCTCAGAAGGGGCAAAAGGTAGAGATGCTGCCTGGAATTCCGGAAGAATCGGTGGATGGGTGGAAAGGTGGGTAGGAAGATCTGACAGCTGAGGCTATGAGAAATGTGGAGCCCTTCACTGAAGATGAGCTGAGGGCGCTATGTACTTCCTTGAACGAAATAGGCGTTGCGTTGTCCCCTATGTCGACCCAAAGATATGGGACAAGTACGTGCAAGAGGTAGAAGAAAGCGAGGTTAGTAGATCGGTCCTAATCCTTCTACTTTGTCATTTTTTTCCCTTTTAAATAATAAAAATGTCTGCTTGATAGTCCATTCACAAAAGGCGTTCTTCCGTTCTAATTCCACTCCTTGATAACTTGGATGGATGATTGGTGAACAAGGTTTTGACGTTTTTACTAATCCGGGACCTACTGTGACGCCCCACATCTCCCTAAGGCGGACCAAAGGGTATCCGCGGACGCCTGCCCAGCTCACGCCAGGACTCAAGCAATTCCATTCAATTTCAAACCGAACTAATCACTTCGATGAGAACAACATGAATACAATAATGCGGAAGCGTTCAAGCTTAATAAGTCACTTAATGTATAACCAGTACATCGGGTAATCATGAAACGACTTAAATTCAAAGTACACATCAGGGCCCAAACTTTTCAAGTTTACAATTTCCAAAAAGTACAACCCAAACCAGGGCCTAGTCAAAATTTATAACAGGAGTCTTAACAAAATTACAACGGATGGTTTCTCCATATTTCTCCAAGAGTCGGTCCTGTTAAGGAAAACAAAACTATAGGGTGAGCTAACGCTCGTGAGGCCAAGAACACACATGCAAGCACTTAGTCAAATAACAATCCCAAATTTAATAAATAAATCCATGTCTTTTCAATAATCAATCGATCAAACAGGAAAAGTAATCAGAAACAATTCAAGGATATAGTAGCTCTCAGGAGCTAAGTTCCACCCGATCTGCCGTTGTCATTCGTATACCTTCCCGCATTGACCCTCCTGTCAACCGGGTCGGTATTTCCCTTTCCGTAGATCACCACTTACTTTCCTCCGTCCACCGTACACCCCAAGGGCCCACAAGTCTATTATTGGGCGATACTCTACGAGTATGCCAAGCAAGACCTCTTATTAGGTCGAGCTTATGTGTATCTCATGGCTCGTCCAAATCCCCGACCAAGCCCATTGCTGGCTCGAGTCTAAGGACGGCCTATGAGTTTGGGCGTCCCCCATTCATTTGAAAGTCGAGGAGGTTCACTCCAACGACACATGCATTCATGACATAACATTGCATTTCATTCATTCATTCAATACATTTCATTCATTCATTTGAAATTAGAACAGGTACGATAAAGTACGCACCCGTCCCCATTTTCTTAAAATTCCAACAATTACACAAATAAGCAAGTATCAAATTTCACACACTTGACACTCACCGAGCAATTCAAAAAGAATTATTTTCCGGAAGTTCAAGTGTCCACGGTGAGATCCTCTTGAAGGTCTCCTTGTGCGCCTGGCAATTTAATAGCGAATAATCACACAATTAACCCACTTATCAAGGAAGATTGTACACTAGTACAATCTAAGAATTATTTTGCAAAAAGGAACCTCAATTACACGTAAATCGAGGTTTAACTTGCCTTTTATTATGTACAATATTATTTGAGTTTTTATCATGAAAATCATAAGCAAAACGTTTTAAGAATATCGAAAGAACAAAGAGTTTTTGAAAAAACTCTATTTCTTTGGAATTGGAAAATTTTTTCAGTTTTATGATGAATCTTTGAAAAATCATAACTCGCCCGGTATAAGTCAAGAATTGGAAAACTTTATACCGTTGGAAACCTCTTAGAGAGTACTATAAGTTCCTAGAAGACACTTTTCCATGAATCGAAGTGAAAAGTGGTCAAAAATGAGCTTGAAGGTGCAGGGTTGGTTCACAAGGCAGAATGAGGTTGGATTTTGGCCAACTTTGAAAATTCGGCACGATTCGCACGTTGCAAACCGGCTTCTGAATTTTGCAGCTCAATTAGTGTTGCAAGTGAAGTTTATAACAAAACAAGAGGATCAAGAATCGGAGTTTCGAGCACCGAGATACGGTAGCCCGAAGTTGAGCAAATTCAAGACTGGATGAGAATTTTCCAGATTTGAACCTCTAACTTTAGTAATTCAATTGGGTATCGAAACGAACTTGAATCGGCACCAAAATTGGCAGTATTTCAATAATATGTGGAAGGTATCTCTCTATCGAATTTCGGGGAAAAATACCTTCGGCAAGGTCGTTAATTAGCCAACCAAAGTTCAAGAAAAATCCTAAGGCAATCTGCCTTTGACTTTCATTTTCCAAATTTCCAATTGTTTAACCAAGAAAGTTATCCAACCATGGTTCATTTGTGAAATAAGGGTCTAAGATACATCCATGATACCTTGGGTAAGTGTTTAATATCAAAAACATCAACTAACAAGTTCACTCCAAGATTTTGTTCCAAACCAGTCCAAAGATTAGGGTTTTCCAAAACAGAGCAGTCCACTTGTTTCAGTCACAACTCAGTCAATATAGCTCGAAATCGAGCATGGCTTATGCCGTTGGAAAATACATTCATAGAGTTAAAATATCACAGAAGAAATCGTTTCCAAATTCGGCACCCATCTGATTCAAATTCGGGCATCAAGTTGCTGCCTGAACACTTCATTCCAGATGAACAGAGTAACAGGACAGCGAACTTAAAACATTTGGTTCGGCTCGCTCACAAAGAATCAGAACGTGCATTATATACCAAATTAAAGCTAGGAATGTCTAGTTTCAAACGCCACCAACGGCACATGATTTCAACATCCGAGGAAAGAGTTATAGCCAAAATACTACTGCTGGTCAGAGCATACGCGAATCAGTTTTCCAGATTTGCTGGTTTCGAACAAAAAACATGCCAATTACCACTTATAAGAGAGATAAAGAATTGGAAAAAAAGCTCATTGGGTTGGCTAAACAGGCCTTGGCGGAGGTAAATTTTCTTCCAGTTTTTTTGTGTGTCTCTCTCTATTATAGTGATTACTGATGAGTTCCCAAAGTTCAAAATTTACTCTTGTAGAAGCTACCATGTTATGAATTTGTGGCCATTGAGTGGGTAACTGGACATCGCTGTGCTGGTTGGGTATATAATATAACGTTTCAAGCTCACGGTGCTGATGCTCCTGAGGGCAAAAGTTTTCAAGCTCGTGTTTATGCTGGAATTGTGGATGTGCAGGTTAAATTCTGCCGTCCCAAAGTGGTTAAAACTTAGTTGAACTCGGCTTGGGTCAGTCATGGAAGGTGGACTAGCAATGTTATGTTGCAATTTTTGAGTGTGATGGGAGAACTATAGAAAGCTGTTTGCTTAACTATGTTAGTGTTTGATGATGTTGACAGTCAAACATGTTCTCTAGCTGAGGGTGATTTTGAGCTTTTTGATCTTGTAGTCTGGTCCTGGGAATATAAATAAAGGTTCAGACATTGTTGAATTGCTTTTCCATGAGAGACTTTTCCCAAAAAAACAATATGGAAACCTTGTGTAGATGAATATGGAAAGCATTTGAATCTCAATGAGTTGTATAAAAGTCTAGTTGGAAGTTCCCAATGAGCTGCAGTGAAAACAGCTAATCTTTGACTGAATAAGTGAGAGGTGCATTGACCTTACTCCGTTTGGTAATTTATGCATTTCTATGTCTTGTGAAACATCGTTAGGCTTGGCACCATGATATTTTTTAGGTTTTAGACATGTTTAGTTATGTTTGCATCTGCTTTTGAGGTTTAATTTATAGCATCTTATGCTGTCTTTACAACAGTTCTTCTTAGTCTCGAATAATCATATATTTTCTGGAGTTATAAAGCAGCTTTTTTTCTACTTGAACAACTACCACTTTGTAAGAGGACCCTTGTTTAGTGGTCAGAAGAGTCGGGTGAATTTCCAGAAAACACTCATTTCTCAGGAAACATCATATTTGGTACTATTGCTTGTGGCTTTGGCAATGTTGGGGTCATGATGTGGATCTCATATGATCTGATGTTGCTTAACGAGCACATAGGTCATACTACTTGAAATTCTGAATCTTGTGATTAGTAAAAGATGTGATAGTTGACATTTTGCTGCATTTAGCTGCTTATTATGTTGATTGAATTCAGAGTTTGTCTTCAAAATGCTAGCTTGATGACATTTTGCTCCATTTAGCCACTCATGTTGTTTGGTTTGTGGATTGGAAGTAAAAGTCTTGAGCGCAAAAACAGCTACGACTACATGAACATTGATAAAATAAACTATATCCCGCACTGATCCGGTTGCTATGGCAAGCATGTTAGGATGTATCCAAGTCCATGAATCCGATATGGGTTGCAGAAGTAGAACTTGCTTTGAAGAGGGGGAGTTTGGGAGCTACAGTGGATAATCATTTCCAAGTCATTAAAACCATGGTGATTTTGCAGTCTTTCATAGAGGAGTTTGAGAAACAGTAATTATCTGAAGGTGTAAAGATGGCAGCGTGGCTATTTTGCCCCATCTAATGACTTTCAAGTTGTTGGTGTGCCGAAGATAAAAAATGGATTACCAAATAGGTACCACTTTGTTGTAGAAGTAGGATAAATGATATACTAACAAACTTCAAAAGAGGTGTGGGATAAATGGCACACTAACAAACTTCCTACTAAAACACTTCGGAAGAGGTACAGAATAATCATATTGTTTTAGAGAGTTACACAATTTTTTTACCTATTTTTTTTTAAGAGGAGGATTTGTTTTTTATGTTGTAATGTTTAATTTTTTTCTTGTTTCACAGAGAATGGTTTGTTTTCAAAGTTATAATTTTAATTTTTCCTTTTTAGTTTGACTTAATATCATTTTCTAATAAAATTTTTATTTTAAATTTATCAGAGAGAAGGGTATATTTTTTATGTTATAGGTTGTAATTTTTATCCTTTTCATATTGATTTAATGTCATGTGCATAACAAATGCAATTAGATTTGAAAGAAACTAAGTGATGTTCTAATTTTACCCCTAAAATCTAGATTTGAAAGAAACTAAAGGGATCTTTTAATTTTGTCCATTTTGGGGCTGATTTGCTCTTTTAGAATGTGATGGACTAATTTGCTTTGCTTTTAGAATATGAGGGATTGATTTGCTTCAATTTAAAAGTGAAGGATAAAAAAATTTTCCTCAAAATATTATGGACGAAATAGGCCATTTTCCTAAACTAAACCAAAATGACACTGTAAATAACTTTGTACTATTAACATAGGTTTTTGATGTAATTAATTATTTTTCTTGTGAAGACTAAATGTTGAATAAGAAGAAGAAGAGGGCAAAAAGATGAATCTAGAAGTGAAATTATAAGTAGGAAGAAATGGAGAGAGATGTGTGGCAAAAATATTTACTCAACCTTTAAGTAGTTTAGAAATGGAGACAAGAATGCATGGTCGTATTAGGAATTTTTTTTTTTCATTTTGTTAGTAAGTTTTCATACTTTACCAAAAGATAAATCGAGTATGACCACCTTATATTTTATCAAATAAAAATAAAGCCTTATAGATTTAGAAGATATAAGTTCTTTGCAAAGTTTGAAAATGAAATAACAAATTATGTTTGGAAATGATACAATGTTTGCAGACCAAAAATGATAAATCAAAACGTATTCCTTAGACTCTTGTCAATCATAGAATATTAGTTTTAAAATTTTCAATTTATTTTGCATGATTAATTTGTGTTTAAGATTCTTTGCATGACCACAATTGCATTCTACAAGGCATCTTTAGAAATCTGGCAATTGATGTCTGAGTATCCTCAGTTAGCATTAAGTTGTCCTAAAAATCTTACTTTAGTTTGAAATAATTTCATTTTTGGTGCAGAAACTACTAATCCATTTTTCTTAACTATTTTTAGAAATGTATTCAAATGTTTGAAATGTTGTTCTATTGATTCAGAAAATATTAAAACATCATCTATATAAACTATACTGAATGAACTATAATGATTAAAAATATCATTCATTATATTTTGAAATTCTGATGGTGCATTTTTTAATCCAAATGGCATGGCTTTCCATTCATAATGACCAAAGGGTGTTGTAAATGCTGTTTTGTATCTATCTTTTGGTTCTATTAATATTTGCCAATATCCTGATTTTAAATCAAACTTTGAAAATATTTTTGCATTAAACAATCTATTGAGCAAATCTTTTTTATTAGGAATAGGATATCTAATCCATTGTAAAACGTTGTTTAAAGGTTTATAATTTATTACTAATCTTGGAACTCCTCTTTCTTTTTCAGCTTGATTCATTACATAAAATGCAGCACAACTCCAAGGTGATTTTGAAGGTGTTATTAATCCTTTGTCTATTAATATTTTTATTTCTTTTTTACAAAATTCTAATAAATCAGAATTCATTTGTATTGGTCTAGCTTTTGTAGGAATATTCTTTTCATTAAAATCTTTTTCATAAGGTAATTCTATCATATGTTGTTTTCTATTCCAAAAAGCATTAGGAATATCTGCACAGATTTCTTTTTGTATTAACTCTTCTAATTCTGCTATTCTTTTTTGTATTTTAATGTCTTTTAATTGTTCTTCAATTTTTAAATAAGATTTTTCTTCTTTAATAAAACTTATATGTTGTTGAACTTTAGTAATAGTATTTATTGTTTTATAAATGGAAGATGTTTGTAAAGTCTGTAATTCTCTTTGTTTTATTGGAGTTAAGAATTTAAAAGTAATAATTTTTCCCATTATATTTATTGAAATTCCTTCATGGCTTACTAAAAATGGATAAATTTGAATTAAAAAAGGTGTTCCTAATATTACATCATGATTTGTATTTTTTACAACTATGAAATTATGTTTAATACAATATTCATTATTACATATTGATCCTTTTGTAAATTTATATTTTACTTGTAAATTTTCTCCATTTGCTGCCATTAATGTTTCTTTTGTTCTTTCACAATATTTAGTAGGGATTATTCCTTCTTTAATGCAACTTGCATCAGCTCCACTATCTATTAGAGCTACATAAGTTTCTTTGAAATCTTCTACTGTAATGGTTACTAAAGCAAACCATTTTTGAAATGTCATTCTTTCTATAGTATTTAAATATTGAGCTTCTTCTACTGGTTTTTTTGATATTAATATTTCTTCTGTTTTAGAATTAGAGGTTGAAGGCTGATTATTTATTAATGCTATTTTTACTTCTATTTCTAAATCTTTTGTTTTTAATTCTATAATTTCTTGTTGTAATTGTTTTACTTGTATCTTTAGATTATTGATTTCTGTTTGAAGATCTTTAGTAGTTTCTTTCTTCATTATATTTATATTTGGATATTTATCTATTAATTTTGAAATGCTAAAAGGTTCTATTATCCTAGGCATTTTATCTTCTTGAATAATTAAACTTTTTAATCTTTCTAAATATTCTTTTTTAGCTATTGGATCTTTGATTTTATCTATTATATCTAATAGGAATTCTTTATCTTCTTTCTTGGTAATAACATTTATATATTTAGGAGTATTAGAATAATTACAATTTTCTTCACTTTCTGAACTAGAAATATCATCATAATATTCTTCTTCAGAACTTTGATTTATTAATAAATTTATTAATTTCTTCTTCATTTGCACAGATTTCAGTAATTTGTTCTTTTAATTTACATTTGTTTGCTTTATGTCCTATTTTTCCACATTTATAACAAACAATTTTCTTTTTAATAAATTTTCTTCTTTTTTCGGGTTTATTTTCTTCAGGTCTTTTATATTTTTGTCTTTTTTGAGTATTATATTTTTTAATTTTCTTTTTATATGCAGATGGGGATTTAATTCTTTTTATTCCAAATGCATCACAAAATGAACCTACTTCTTTTGTTTTTGAACCGTATTTTATTTGAAGTCTTAATTCTGAACATAACATTAATCCTTCCTTTTTTACAAAGGCAAATAATTGTCCAAAAGTAATATTTTCAAATGAAATAACATCTGTTCCCATTTCTTTTTGTAAACTATCCATTTTTCTTTGTGAAAATAAACTTGGTAATCCAATTATAAATCTTTCTTTCCAAAATGAAGCATTGCAATCTGGTCTTCTTAATACATTTGTTAAAAACATATCTTTGTACCATCTAAAATCTGATAATGTTGGGCATCTTAAATTTGTTAGAAATGTTTTATTAGAATTTAATTCTTCTTTCGGATTTCCTATAAAATACATTACTATGGTTACAATTAGAAATACTGCAGCATCTGACTGTATTTGAATATTTCCTTGATCATCTTCAATTTCTTGTGTATGATCTAATATTGATAATTTATCTTGAAGTGTTAAAGCATTATCCCACCAATTTTTTAATTGTCCAGTAAATCCTGAAACTAATAATGTTGCAATATTTCTTTCTTGAATATTTTTAATTTTATAAACTAATCTAGCCATTCCCATTTCTTGCAAATTATTTAATACTTCATATTCTGCTTTACCATCTATATTCCATTCATAAATTGAATCGCCATCATATTTAGTAGTACGAAATTTTGATCTTTCTTCATATTGAATATCTGGAGGGCTAGGTTTTGGATAATAATTTCTAGTACTAACCATTTTCCAATCTTTGGTGTTACCTTTATTATAAATTCTCTTTCTTCTTATTTTATTTATTTGAT